TGTCACACACACACACACACACACACACACACACACACACACACACACACACACAGCAGCCAGAAGACAGATCATATCCAGGAACCCAGAGCTCAGCACCTTGCATAGTAACTGTCACCCCTGACAATCTTCACACACAAAGCACACCCTGCTTACCCAAACTTAGGGTACCAAAATATACTTATCTGCTAACCGTGCTGCTCACCATTACACCCCGCAACGCGAACTCGCAGCCTCACACCCTCTCACTCTCTCTAAGAGACAGATCTAAGAGCCAGGCTGGCTCGGTGCCAGTCCCGAGTTGCCGTCGCTGCTCCGAGGCCACTCACCATGTCTGCAGTCGCAGTAGCCCCAGTCCACTCTACCGTGGGCGTTCCCATAGAAGCACCAGGGTCTGCCAGCGCCGTCGGGGCGTCGGCAAAAGTTGTGGCGCTGCCCTTGCAGCTGAGCCCAGCCCGCCGGGGGCGACCGCTCCAGGAAGGGTGGCACTTCTGCCCAGCGCAGACATGGGGCGCCGAAGTCCGTCACGTTGACCCACGGCTCGCCGGCGGGGCAGCCCCCGCGGTGCGGCTGGGGGGTGTGCCCAGCCTGGAGGGCGTGCAGGCGCTGGGCAGAGAGCGCCCGCGGGGGGATCGGGGAGCGCGGGACAGAAGGTGACGGAGGCGTCCTCTGCTGCCGAGGCTGGGTGGGAAGGTAATAAGGGTACTGGGGACCGGGAGGGAGCGAATGGCGGTGGCGGTGGTGAAGGGGATAACTGAGGACCGGATCATTGCTGAGCACTTCGGGGAACGCCCCTAAAATCAGAGCCACGACGAAGGGGGCGAGCGTCATGGTGCCAGCGCTGCGGGGTTTGGTCCATGCTCCCCCGCTCCTCGGGTTCTGAAGGGGAGGAGAGGAGGGGGCGGGGGCGGGGCTGCCGCGTCCCTCGAATCCCCCAGCTCCCTCCCGCCCCCGGTGAGCGGACCGCCTTCCCCTCCCCACCTCGCCTCCAGCCTCTGGTGCTCCGCCGCGCCTCTGCTCCTGCCCGCCGGGGCGGTCGCGGGCAGAGAGATCTTCAGCTCGGCGGACACCAGGCTAGAACAGAGCACCTGGAAAGAGTAGGCGCAGACCGGCCCGGAGTGGTGGGGCCTGAGCCCCAGGTAGCGGGCAAAGTCACAAGCCCGGGAACTCTGCCCCCTGGCTGTGGGCGCCGCGCGCGCAGTCAAGCCGCGAGTCAGTCCTCCGCTTGGCCTCTGTCCGGCTCCGGCTATCAGCCCGCCAGGCAGGGCCAGCTGCGGGACTGCCGCGACCTCGCTGCGCCTGAGCCAAGCCCGAGGGTGCCAATGCGGGGGACGGTCTTGGCTGCCTCTTGCCAACAGGCAACACCACCACTGCCCGGCGTCTGGCAGCTCCCAAGTCTGGCACCAGTCCCGACAGCCGTCTCTCCTCCACCCCGTCCCATGTCCTATTTTCTCGGTTTTGAAATACTTAGAAAAGTGTGGAGGGATTTAGATGCAACTCTCCCTTGACAGCTCTCAAGATAAAAGTTATCAAAGGCAACGAGGAATGTTAAAGTCATTTACTGAACTGTGAGCTCTTCAAGGACGAGACCACGTTTTATTCAGCTTGATGTCTCCGTGCTTAACATCGTGCCCGAATAAACATTTGCTGAAATTAAATTCCTGAACCGACCCAGGGAAGGAAGCTTGAGCCTTTCTACTTCCTGCCTCCCACTTTCCACCCGGTGCCCTGGACAACGCCAGTTGTTTAGTTATTATTGGGATTCAGTGAGGCCCTCTTAATACCAAATTTCCTCTCTAACCAGAAAAGACTTCATCTGTCCAGGTCTCTATCCTATCCAAAACGTCCATCCCTCTAACACCTGCCTCGTTTTTGCAGGGGAGAGACTTGAGTTAAGCCTGTTCATTTTTCTCTCCAAAGTGAACTCTGCCTGCCGGCAATTTTGTAGCTTCACTGTTGGTTTAACCTTTGCTTAGTACGGCTCTTTCAACACCCTCCCACTCCAATAAAAAAAAAAAAAAAGTTGACTTAGAATAAAAATTTAAAAAAAATTACTGGAGCTGGATGCTTTAAGATTTCTCCTCTCAATTGTTCCTGACTATGCCATTAATATTAAATGAGAAGAAGGAAGCCCATAAAGAGGGTTAATATTTTACTTTCTGGCATGATCATGTTTTATTGTGGAGGAGAAATGCTGTCCCATAATATAATACATAATAAAACTTAAATGTTTATTGTTAAAACCTGGGTTTCAATTAAGAACTGAATTAATTCCGTACACCTAGCTTTAAATAATCCATCTTCAATTTTTGTGAATCATCTTATTGGGGTTTTTTTCACTCCTATTAATGAAATATTTGATTTTACTTCAGAAAGAATTGAGTAAAAGGAATGATATTAGGAATACAGGAATGTATTCCTCAAATCTTTATTCGAGATTTTTTATTCAAGATGCTTTTACCCATTATTTTGTTTTTTATTAATACTTTTCTGCCTCCAAAAGCATAATTAAAATTGTACTTGTGGAAGACAGTCAAAGGTAAAACACACATGTAGGGGCAGTCTATTTGCTTATTATAGTAGGGTAGAGTTCACCAGTCATAGATTTTTGATGTAATAGGTGACAGTTCTAAAAAGAGTCAGCCCTTTTCCTTTCAGACTGTCTCTTCCACTTTAGGCTACACACTTGATGGCCCAGGGAAGGCTCATCTCCGGACTGTGGCCGGCCTGCTCCGACCCTGCTCCCATCCCTTTTCTGCATGATTCATACAGCCATTGCTTTCCCACTTCCTGGGGGTAGGAAGATCCAGTTCCCACACATCTACATACCTGTAGACAGGGAAATAATAAGAGAGAAGAGAATAAAAGAGATTATTGGAGCTGAGCTCCAGGGAGGAGCACAGCCTTGGGCAATCTGGCACCTCGTTCAGCTCCCTTTACCCAACAGGCACTGAAGATTCTCTGAGGCCTCCTTACATTTAACAGATTGTGAAGTTGACACATGACAAAGTGGTGTTACCCACAGAAAATCCCACATCTGGATTTCATCATTTAAGTTATAAAACATAACTTTCATAGAAAATAAAATGGCCATTTATGTAATTGGACTACCTATGTGAGGGCCTCAATTTGGGTTCTGCCTTCTATTTTATGGCAAAGTATGGTTTAAATAGGTCCAATCTTTACATATTTCTCCCCTCCTCTGCTAACATTTTCCTGTTTTTTCTTATTTTATTCTCCTTGCTGCTACAAATGCAGATGTTTAGGATTCCCGAATCCTAATGCAATCCCTGATATGCATTTCTCCCTCCCACCCCCATCACATCACAACGTGTGGGGTGGGCAGCAGTGGGGGCAGGGAGGTTTGCAGGAGAAAACCTTTTCCTTCTACCTCTATTAGGCCACTACCTAGCCACAGCTCCTTCCTCCGATTCTCATCCCTCCATCAAGATACCAAAGCCAAAGGAGAGTGGGAGGCAACTCCAACTTTTTACAACTGTAAGAACCCCACAGCTGATTTTTTCTGCCTTCCCTTCCCTTCAGCAACAGCAAAGGAGCAAGGAAAGGGAACAGAAAGGAACAAGTGACGTCTTGCAGGCACTCCCCACCACAACACTTGGAAGTCCCCAGGAGGTCCTCATAATCCTCCCTCGTCACCTCTGTCACCTCCAATTCCATCGAGCAAACTCATTGATTCGGGGCCCAAAAAGTCAACTCCCTCCTCCTCTCCCCCCTCCCCCCCGCTCAGCTTCACAGCCTATTCTGGTAGAGCCTAGATAAAGAACCACAACTGGAAACCTAGGGAAATGAAGAGCAGAATCTCTCTGCCCACATCACAACAGGGAGGGTGGGCAGGCTTGGGGGTGGGGGTGGGGTACACATACATCTGCTTATCTGTACTTTACAATGGCGACTATGTTATATATACACATTTGGTTTTATAGTGGTCTAGGGGATCATTTTACCTCACATATGTCATGGGCTGAATAGCTCTTCTGTACTTGGATTTGGAAACATAACCAATATGTATATTATTTTTACAGA